TAGAAAAAAATAAAATCAATGAAACCAAAACTAGGTTCTTTGAAAAGAAAAATTAACAAACATTTAGTTAAATTGCCCCCAAAATGAAAACTCAGTGATTCTGGAATGAATGAGGGAATCATATCATGAACCTGACAAATTAAATAGAAGTTTTTCACAAACTATTCCAAAACATAGAACACCCTGCTCCCCAGCTTGTTTTAAGAGGTCCTGACACCAAGGAAAATTTGTCTCAGTAATGTATTTTGGCTCAACGTATGAAAATCAATCAATATAATACACTGTATTCATAGAATTAAGGGTAAAATCTATAGCATCATCTTAGTTGGGGTAGAAAAAGCATTCAACAAGACCCAATATCCCTTCATGATGAGAGCAATAGGGCCAGGGATTTAGCTCAGTGCTTCTGCGATCTTGCAAACACAAGGTTCTGAGTTCAATCCTGATACCAAACAAAAGGTAGAAATTGAAGGGAATTTTCTCAACAGATACAGGGAACCTATAGAAACCATATAGCTTATACTTAATGGTGAAAGAACTAATATCAGAAATAAGAAAAAATGCCCACTCCTGCAACTTCTATTTAACATTGTATTGGTGATTATTGTTAGGATGGATGGTTGAGCAAGAAAATGAAGTTGCATAAAGTGAAACAGATTGTAAAGGAATATAACAAAGGACATGATCTTGTGTATAGAAAATCTAAGACACCTCTATGCCAAATTATTTCAACTAAGCTGGGTATGATGGCATACACCTACAATCCCAGCACTCAAGAGGCTGAAGCAGGAAGATCTCCAGGAGTTCTAGGCCAGCCTGGAATACACAGTGAGACCATGTCTCAAAAAAAAAAAAAAAAAAAAAAACCACAAAAAAAAAAAAAAAAAAAAATCCAACTAATAAATACATCAGTAAGATTCCAAGATACAATATTAACATAAAAATCAATTACATGCCAATAACTAGTAATGATCAGACTGAAAATAAAACTAAGAAAACAGTTTCATTCATAGTTTCATCAAAAGGAATAAAAAGCTGGATATGAGGGCATAAACCTGTAAGCTCAGGGCTTTGGAAGGTGAGGCAGGAAGATTGCACATTTGAGGCCAGTCCAGGCAATTTAGGAAGACCTTGCCTCAAAAAATAAGGGTTAGGGAGTTGAGCATGGTGGTGCACACCTGTAATCCATACATGCTTGGATGCTGAGGCAGGAGGACTGCAAGTTCATCCTCATCATGGGTAGTTTAAAGACTTAGGCCCTGTCTCAAGAACAGAAGGACTGGGAATGTAGCTTAGTGGGAAGGCCCAGGATGCAATCCTCAGTACTACATTTTTAAAAAACTGCTGGGGGGCCAGGGACTTGGCTCAGTGGTCCCAGCACCTGCCTTGCAAATGTAAGAGCCCGAGTTAGATCCATGGTACCAAAAAAAAAAAAAAAACCTAGAAAAAAATCTGGGGATCATCCCTGGCTTTCCCAATATCAGTCAATGTTACATTTAATAAAGCACAAAACACACATTGAAAATTAAAAATCTGTTAAAAAATTAGGATCTAAACCCCATTTTATGTTCATGATTTTGAGACAATTTTTTTGTTTTTTTTTTTAATTTTTCTAGACAGTCTCACTATATAGTTGAGACTGATCTGGAACTCACTATGTAGACCAGGCTGGTCTTGAACTCACAGTGATCCTCCTGCCTCAGCCTCCCAAGTGCTGGGATTACAGGTGTGTGCCACCATGCCTGGCCGGGCAACAATTTTTTAAGAGTTGATTTATTAGTTTGTTAGGCTGCCATAGTAAAATGCCACAGCCTGGGTGATTTAAACAGAAATTTATTTCCACACAGTGGAGGCTGGAAGTTCCAAAATGAAGGCAGTGGCAGGTTTGGTTTCTCCTAAGGTCCTTCCCTTGCAGATGGACGCTTTTATGGTATATTTGTATATGGTCTTCCTTCTGTTCATAGGCATCCTTGATCTCTGGTTCCAGATGGCCTCTTGTAAAAACTCCAGTCAGATAGGATTAGAGCCCATCCTAAAGCCTCTTTTTAATCATATCTTTAAAGGTTGTACTTCCAAACATAGTCACATTTTAGATTACTAGGGGTTAGAACATCAGGGTGCATTTTGAGGAGACAATTCATCCTGTGACAGATGGTAAGAACCTGTAAATTGATCTACAGATCTAACATAATCCTCTCAGAATTCCAGCCGACTTGTGCAGAAATTGACAAGCTGATTCTAAGATTTATTTAAAAATAAAGTAGATCTAAAATAGCCAAGCCTAATCTCAAAAAAGAGGAAAGTTGGGCTGGACTTTGATCACATCCTGTCTGTCTGAAATGAGAACTCCTGGTCCCACTTCCATCCCAGACTTGCTCCCCAGTAGGGCCCTGGTGTAAACACTGACTTCGTTAATACACGTTGGCTTTCTGCTGCTTTAAGGAAAATCAGTCTTACCAAAATGCTGTAAAAGACAAACAGATTTGCTTTTAACCTCTGTTGGTTAAATTCAAGTACCTGACATACTTAGTAAATATTTGTATTCAAACAAGGTCATATCAGGCAGAATTCTTGGGAGAGACATTCTGCTGCAGACCTGCGCATTCTTATCCTTTGCCTAGGCCAATTCTCAAAGTTGTGTGGGCAGTCTTCAGGGATGAAGTCTCCCTCTGAACAAAGGACAGATTTTCAACTTCTTACAGAAGTAGTGGTTCCTCTTCTATAACAGTTCATTTCATTGGTAAGTGTCTTAAGGCACTGGTAGAACACTGCCCTAGACTGTGGCTTATAAACTATTGAAAGTCATTTCTCATAGACCTGTAAACTAGAAGCTTATGATGATCTGCTTGCTAGCATGTTCAGGTCTTCAGGTGGGTGAAGGTCTCTTCTAGGTTCCAGACAGCTCACTTACTGTATCCTCATGTAATAAAGCAAAAGATGTCCCAAGAGTCATTTTGATAAGGGCATGTCTTAGTTACTTTTCTCATTGCTGAGACAAAATACCTGATGCCCACAGGTTAAGGGAGGAGAGGTTTATTTTAGCTGTTTTTAGAGGTTTCAGTCCATAGTTGGCTGGTTCCAAAGCAGGGTGGTGTGGCACAGGGGACTTACAGGGGAGAAGGAGTCCATGTCATGGCAAGGCAGGCAAAAGGCAGCAGATTGCCTTCCCTCTCTCCCTTATATTTCATCCAGGCTACCAGACTATTGGTTGTTGCCATCCACACCCAAAGTAGGGCTTCCTTTGTCCACACCCTTACTCTCAGTATCACACTTAATCCACGTTCATGTACCCTTTTGTAGCCACCTTCGAAACTCCTCACCTTAACTGCATGAGGCTTTGGGAGAACATCTAGATACCAGTTATATATAACGGCACAAATCCCATTCCTATGTGCTCCACCTAATTACCTTCTGGCCCCATACCCTAACACTAGCACATTAAAGATTTTGACATGAATTTGGGGGTTGGGGGACACAAACATTCAGTATGGGAGGGTGATCAGTTCTCCAACTGCCTAGAAAGGGGGACAGTGGGAGGCTAAAAATAAAAAAAAAGACAGGAGATGTGTAATTTCAAAGTATGTGAGGGTGGAGGTCAGTGCTTCAGTGGGCAAAGACAATCTGAGTTAGCCATTATTTATTGGGTGCACACAATAATTGGAGGAAGTATCAGGTGACTTGGGGTGGCAGTGATCCTATGTTGATGAGGATCTTAGATCATAGAGATCTTATGTTGATGAAGGAGTTAAGGAGAGCATTCCCACAATGGTAGGTGGGCCAAGATGCAGGCTAATAAAAATCTTGTAACCTTTCTCTTATTTTATTTATTTATTTATTTATTTATTTTGGTACTGGGGATTGAACTTGGGCCCTTGCACTTGCAAGGCAGGCAGTGAAACCACTGAGCCAAATCTCTGGCCTCTTTCTCTTTTTTTAATTACTGCTTAGTTCTCAAAGAACCAGGATGTCTTCAGCTGGTGCGCTCTTGCCCTTGAGCATCACAGTATCACAGGACCATCGAGGCCTCAACTTGTGACTGGAGGCAAAACGGAGTTGTTTTCCACATGCCATAGCCAGTTCATAGGCAAGGTGACATTGGGCCTTAGACAGCTATAGTCATACTTTAATTATGAAATGATTTTTTCCCCAAAATTTATGTAGAATGGCTCTCAACAATTCAGTCCCTGGCAGCAGTTGTCCACCTGGGTTCACCTGTAATACCTCATAGAAGCCAGCACAGCTCCTTCTGGGTCTTGGTGTTGCCTGCTGTGATCACATTACACATGAACAAGTGTCTTGATATGTATTGTCTGTGCAAACCCTGTAGTGATAGTTCTTTCTCTAGTGACTTCATCACTCACATAATGGTTTTAACCTAGCTTTTTTTCCTTCACTATACTGGGGATCAAACTCAGGGCATCATGCATGCTTTTCAAGTGCTCTACCACAAAGCTACTATAACAGGTGCCCTGTTACAACTTGTATATAGATGTTCTCCCCAGTGCTTTTCATTTATTTTTTGAGACAGGGTCTTGCTAAGTTGACCATGTTAGCTTTGCAATCCTCCTGTTTCAGCCTTCCAAGTAGTCAAGAGTTACGGATGTGTAATACCACATCTGGCTAACTTAGATAATTTTAAAGAAAAATAGTGAAGCGAGCTTGTTTTATTAACAGATAGGGCTGCAGTTTAATGTTTATCCAGGAGTATAAGACTGAAATCTTGGTGCTGTGTCTTAGGAATTAGACTGACTTAGGAAAGACTCTTATGGTCATTTGGAATACATTTTGATAAATGAGATATTCTGAGAAAAATATGGAGAAAAAACATCTAATCTGTAATTGCACATAGACTAGGATTTGAACCTTGTCAAGCCAAATTTGTAAATATAAGTAAATATGCATACTACTTTGTAAAAGGCCTTCATGCTCAGAAAAAGCATTGACAAGCATTAGGAAACAGAATGGCACAGTGTAATTACTGTATTGTGTTTGTATTTCAGATGCCTTTGGTATGTTGTGGAGACCATTTCCAGGTACATCACAGACATTAAGCCTTTGCCTCCCAACATAAAAGATGGACTGATTAAAATAATGAGTGTCAAGGGACGGATAACAGATTCAAATATAAATGAGGTAAGAGTATATAACTGTAAAACTTGTATATGTCTTTTGAGTTGTTTTGTTTTTTAGACAAGATCTTGCTCTGTAGTCCAGGCTGTCTTGAACTTACAACTTCCCAAGTGTTCACATTACAGTGTGTGCATGGATCTGTATTTTACTGTTTAGATATGGCTTTAGTTTTTTTGAGCAAAGAGATGTAGTAGAATTAGGAATCATTTTAAAATACAAATCTCACAAGTACAAGGTCCTGAGTTCCATCCCTGGTACCCACCTCCCACAGAAAGAAGAAAAAATACAAATCATCTGGGACTTTTTCCTCCAGATAATAAAAATGTCCATATGTTGGTGAGATTTAAGAGATAGGAGAGACCACTGGGAAACAGGAAGATTTTATTTCAGGTTTTGGGTGAACACAAGTTCAATGGACTAATGTCCAAAGGAAGAGCCTTGAACAAAGAAAAGTTTTAGTTTTTATATATTTGGTGGAAGGGGTTGGTCTTTTTAGTGATGTAGCAAGTGAGTTTACAGAAACAGGACACCGGCGGATCATTTTATAACTTAGCCTTATAAGAAGGCAGAGCTTTATGAATCTCGAGGGAACAAGATGACATGAACTTTGCTTACAGGACACAGTTGCCAATTTTATCTGTACCAGAAGGCAGGGATCAGATTGGGGGGAACTTGTTTTTCTTTAAGTCCCGTTTCACATGTGTAATAATTCCAAAAAAAAAACAAACCAAAAAACTACTCCCACCATTCTTTCAGTTACTTCCCTTGTCTTCATGGTACTAGCACCCTTCGTGTCCATGTTTTCAAAAGTTTATAAACTTTTCAAAATAAAGAATAGATGTTTCATCACAACTCATGCACAAATCACACATTTTTGTGCAATACTGTACACAGTGTACTTTGATATTTTCTGCACTATTCTTTTTATTCCCATCTTATAAAATGTTGATCATAGCTTATTAAATTGATTTTAAAATGTACTCATGCAGAACAATCTAAAGTTAAAGTCACTTTTCTAAACTAGCCCCATTCTTGGGGAGGTATCTTTCCTTCCTGCTGGTTTGTATCAACTCCCTTTCCCTACAACCACACTAATTTCTTCCTCACATCTCTGCCTTTCATTGGCTTTTCCATGAGGCATTAAGTATAGCAAATTCACATTCTAGCTTTGCCACTCTTTCTGACATGGAGCCTCAGTTCTCTAAACTGTAAAGTGGGAGGTAAAAGTAACCACATCCAGGGGTTTTATGAGGATTACAGTATTTCACAGCAGCTAATATGTTGCTTAGAAAAATCACTGAGCTTATGCCAGAGATCTAGCACAGTGGTTCCACCACCTGCCTCACAAGCACAAGGACCTGAGTTTGATCCCAGTACCAAAAAAAAAAAAAAAAAAAAAAAAAAAAAAAAA